TATAACACAATGGAATAAATTGTATTATTGTAATAAATAAAATATGATTTTGGTCTCTGGTCTGGTTTCTCTGCAGGTTCTGGAATTGCAGACTATCTGTTGGAATAAATAATTTTTAATATCAATCCCACTTCTGACACCAGTTGAAACGCAGTCGGGGTCTGCTTCCCAAACACGCAACAATATCCAGGACGTGAGTTCTTCTCGAACGCACGTGGAGTATTAAAAATTGAACCTACAAGGGAAAAACAGAACACAAAAGCCTGAAATAAAAGTACACAAATAATTTATTTAGATTTCATATCAAATACAGTTAAATTCGTATATATTCTGGAAAATCCTCGTCGATGGACCACGTCTGGAAGGGTTAGTGATAATCCTCGTCTTATAGGCTATGAACTAAACCAAAGAATAGCTATATCAATGTAGTGTAGCTAAGTATGACATCCAAGTTATATGTGGATCTATATGGTTTATAATAAACTGTATATTTATATTGGTTCATATAAATACATATACATTTAAAGGGGTGATTATACTAGTAGTTCCATGGTAGCTGGAACTTCAGGATGGAATCTATGATAAAATACCATGGAAGCTGGTATTTATAGGTAATTCTCTAATTATGTCACATCAAACAATACAATTTGAGTAAAATAAACTGTCAGGAAAATATAATATTATCTGAGGTTAATAATCTAGGCACAATAAAACTGTCATAAATAATTATATTACCTTGGAATAAGGAGTTGCTGGCATTTTCTAGGTTGTAATCGGCTTGATTACTATTCTAAGTTCTATCCAGGCACTGACAGCCGGATTGCATGCGCCAGAGTAATTTAAAAGTATCAGGGGGGCGGCATCCCACGTCATTTTAGGGGCCCATGACCCTCAGTGCCCCGAATTTTTGCCCCAAAGCCGGCTGTGTTTCGGCAAACGTGAAAAGGGTTTAAAATCCGTTAAAAATTTGGAACGGGCCCGAACTTTTAACATCGCGAAAAGGTAAAGTCCCTTAGATTCCGGGGAAAGGCTTGGGAGCCGGGGAAAAAAAAATTAAATTTTAAAAAATTTTTAAAGTGTTTTTTTTTTACGTATTTATGGATATTTTAAAATGAATTTGGGGGTATAAAAACGCATTTTGGGGATATTTTAAAATTAAAAAGGTTTTTGATTCACGAAGGGGAAACTTGGTTGTCAAAATTTTTCGGAAAACCGGGGGAAAAATCCCCGGATGGGTTTGTAGTGTTGTATAAATCAGGATAAAACATCTTATCCGAAAATATCAATGAGCTAGGTACTTGGTCGTTACAATATTTTGTTCGCTTTGGAACTGAGGCCAATAGGACAAAACCGGACGTGGTCTTAAATGCAGTTGATTCCGGTGTTTAACTAACGATTTTTTCCTTACATTTTAGAAGTAACTGATTTGAAATGTGATAATAAATCATTTAATTCAATATATACGGGTCAATCTAATTACGAAAACATAATTCATTTTCAGTTGTCAAATGTTTATAAATATTTATAATAATAAAAAGATTTTCCTGTTGGTACAAAATAACTGATAGCAATATCGTGTATAGTGACCAATATCGAAAAAATGTCATAATGGCCCCAAAGCAACCATCTCAATTCACTATCACAGCAAAAAGCGGACATAATGTCAGTGCATAAACCTTCAATATTTATATTTTTTATTATTATAGTTTAGTTATTATAATAAAACAAGAAAAAATGTTTCTTAAACTTTTTAAATTTGTTAAAATGAGACGAAAACAGACACAAACACGAACTTTTTTTATTGATGTTACCGAAAATTGTAACATTCGCGATACATACAGGACATATTTGTAACATACCTTTGACTGCATCATGTTGTGGTAAATCGGTTGGACTTCTTTCTAACATAATAGTCCGGTTCTTGTGCCAAGTTTTGAGTTACAATGGCCTAAATTGGACTTTGTAACCCCTGTAAGGAGTTATTCATGCAAGCATCTGTGAGTTTTAAAAGACTAATAAGGAGAAAAGAACGTGTCACTCACTTTGAGTATGAGTTTCAAAGTCTAAGAACGAGTGAACGAGAAATAGAAGCACTATTTGGTTTTTATTATTTTAAAAAATCTCCTAAATTGAAAAAATAAAATCCGAATTAAAACTACATACGTCCTTATATGGAGTATGAAAAGCCAAATGAATGGAACAAATCATAATTAAAGCATTTGGTTATTCAATGAAAGTAATAATCGGGGGCCGAAATTAACCATACTGATTTAAATGCATGGTGCAACGGTATATGTACTGATGAACTCTCATTCAAAGAACTATTTGTATGGGATAACATGCTCGAATATTGCTTGTTAGATAAATAACCGTATCAATATATTTTCATCTCACAGTTACTACGACACAAATATTAAATATGTTGATCAGGAAAGGTGCCTGCCATTTCTTGGTTTGAATGTCTTTACTACAATATTTTTTGTACATGGCTTTTGTTTACTAGTATTCGTTGGTTATTTTCCCGCCTGCCCAGATGGCCATCTGAGAACGTGTTCACGTCCTGTTAAGAATGTTCAAGTGGGACCTTAGTATGTAAGTAAATCTGTAATGGTCAATTTAAAATTATAAACACAAAATATGAGAATCACACTGGCGATGACTTTAAGTAGCAAACTGTTATTAGGAACTTGTTATAATTGACAATTCCATGTTAAACTTTCTAATGTTCTATGATAAATTTTGCAGAAGTCGATTGCAGGATAAAGATAATTTAACCAAGCGAACAATTAGCATTGTAAATACGTTAATTAGATGTATTTTCGTTGGACAAAACATCAATTATCAAGTTCCATATAAATGTAAGAGCCTTGGTAATATATTTTCTTTTGATGACATTTTATTTCAAAAACGCCGAAACTACTGTGAATGGAAAACAGTTTTAAAGACTTTCTGTTTATTTCAGTCACTGTTATAAATGAGGTTACATAGATGTTATAATGTTGTTACTTAGTTGTTACACAAGTGTTATTTTAGTTACGAGAATTGTGGGTGGAATGAGAATTTTATACACAATGAAATGAAATTGAAAACATCATCTCAAATGTTTCAAATGTTACCGATGTTACAAGTGTTACAGCGCAAGCTCTTAAAATGGCCAGAAGTCAGAAAATTGGTACATAGATGCAACAAGGTTGTTACTTAGTAAATGTAGTAAAAACGTCATTAGAAATATTAGGAAGATTAGGAGTAGAAAGAAAATTCTAAAACAAATGTATTGTTACAAGTGTTGTAGCAGACGCCTCAAATGGTCAGAAATCGATGTTACATAGATGTTACAATGTTGCTATGTAGAACATTGCAAAAATAATGCTAGCACTGGGATTGAAACACAATTTCATACATGATTGTAAATAATCTTGCAGATATTAAAATTGTTACAGCAAAACCACAAAATATCCATAGTATGGTTACTAGTATAGTATAATAATTGTTACAGCGTTTTTACTTCAGTTACGCAGTGAAGAATACCTTTGAAATAGATGTACTAAACGAACTTATCATCTAAATTTGAATAAAACCGCTAGACCAATATTTTAACACACAGCTCACATAATAACCATTAGCATTGTTCATTTTTACAATAATAGAGATTTAATGTTTTACACAATTCTATAATTATTATAGAAATTTTCTTATTTCTTTTTTAAATATATTTTCTAACAATGCTTCATTAAAAAAACAAACAAAAAAAACAAACAAACGAAAAACATGAAGTCAATCTATAATAAAAGAATTCCAAATTCAACTTTTACAATTTACGAATGTCAAAAAATGATTAATATTAAAATGTGAGTGTGGTGGGGTGGGGGCGTTAACGTTCTTTAGATTTTTCTTGCCCTGTAAAGTACATATGACGCACAAATGTCCAAAGAAATATTTCAATGCATTAGTCGTTTATAAATAAATTATTAATGTAACATGAAGATGTTGGCATTACTGCCACATAAATTACCATATATTCTTTAAATTATGTATAATCCATCTGTTTTATATATACAAGCAGTACATTGTAACAAACGAAAATCTAAACACAATATAATGGATCATTTAAAGACGTTAAAATGTAAATTAAGTAGATTTTTTCTTTGTTTGTTAAGGTTTAAGGCACTTATTCATTATCCCTCAAATGATTAATGCTTCCGAGGGATCACTTTGTTTCCATATTTTTATACTTCACAACAGCAGGTGTCAAGTGCCCTTTGGCAGCTGTAGCAGCTGTAAATAGTTACCCCGTACTTCACTTTAGTGTTGTTATATTTTTCTGGTCCTTCGAGATCATTGATGCCAGCACTATTAAGCGTTGAGAATTAAGTACCACTCAAGCCGGTGATATGGGGCGTGAGGCATGTTGCACTCATTATCCCTCATGTACAAACTTAATCAAACCGAGTCTGCAATTTTCATGAAAGTTTGTAAAAGTGATCTCTCGGACGCATTAACTTCAGCAACAATACTTGTAAATAGCAGACTCGGTTTGATTGAGTCTGTACATAAGGGTTAATAAAAAACCGTCATCCCTTATATCCCTTGTCATCGGCTTAAGCGATAGTCTCAGAGCGGTACTCAATTTCTAACACTTTAAGTGATGGAATAAATGATCCCGAAGGACCAAAAAAAAAAAAATAAAACAGCGTCTCTCTCTTCCAAGTTTCAAATATATCAAAAATGAAAAAAATAAAGATTTTTTTTCTTTCTAGTGTACATGTCGAAATATCTGATCTTTTAATTTCAAAGCATATCAGAGATTCTGTTTTTTTTTAAATTAATGTGAACAAGACAGAATAAGAATCAGTTACATTTTGAGATTGAAATGACCCCTAAGCGCCAATATTGTCATCACTGTACCTTGTGAAATAAAGATGTTATTTTCTAATAATATACTTGACAGACATAATAGGTCTTTAAACCTAATAATGAGATATTGTTGTTGTAGTACTTTTTTAATCAGTATACATAACATACAACTACTCTGAATAACAAGTATAAACAAAGAACAACGGTTCATTGAGAAGATGTATTGGACACTTACATTGTTTTTTGCTTCGAGTCTCAATGGTAAGTTATTGTAGTCATAATCGTGCAATTAAGTACTTAAAATTAACTGTGTAATTCAAAGGGATTAAAATATTCTGAACTTAGTCATGTGTAGGTTGTATTAACAATTACCTATCGTTTACTCATTTGCAGCGATTTGCCTACTTTGTATTGGAGATATTCACGATTTTTTAATACTATTTAACTTTTAAATTAGTATCATTCTCTTTTTCTGTCTGTGTTTTGAAAATTATTATATTAGCATTAGGATTCATCGGCTTTCATTGCTTCAGGAAAAAAAACAGATCATAGTCTTTTCACAGCATATTTTACAATGAAGTATATTTACTTGTAATTAAATAAAATTATCATATCGCGGCTTAAAGAATCGGGATTCAACAAAATACATGTATTGAACAATACAGAAAAATGACATCGATGAAATGTGAGAAATATTAGTTTTTACGCCAAATAACTTAGTTTTTTTAAATGGCGACGTGGTCTAGTGGTTAAAGCATCGGACTAATAATCTAAGGACTGCTAACAGCGTGGGTTCAAACCCTGTCGGACGCAAGCCGTTGTTTCCTTCAGCAGGAATCTTTACATGTGTTGCTTAGAACGGGTTGGTTCCAGGATTCGTGTTTCAATAAGCTTATAGATTTCAACAAATCGAATCAAATTTGTATAAACTAAATAGATTTCGAAGGAGTCTGTCAGGAATATATTAGAAAACTTGATAAAGAAACTTGTATTATAAGAAAGAAAAAGAAAAAAGTAGTTTTTCAGAATGGTTTCACATTCTACCTGTACCTTAGTTCAGTCAACGGAAATGGATTGGGAAGCTGCACTGCAATTCAATATGACATGTTTGAAATATGTAGTAATGAGATGGTGTAGTTTATAAGTTAGTAACTTACTTCGATATTTCGTTTTCATAGCGTGTGTTGTTGCTGTCGAGCAAGAATCAAGCAAGGTAAATAGAAAGAAAAATATAATTATCTTAACATTATCAGTTTCACAGCAGCTTGAAAGAAATAAATTATAGACTGGTAAATCATATATAAAAAACCTTGTTGCAACAAAATATTAACCTGATAAAGCAACGAGATGGTATATCTTCCGTTAACGAACGGGTGCATAATATGTTAAACTGTGCTTTTTAAATAAATGAAAGGTGTATGTCAACAGTTTGTAAAAACATTCTGATTTTGAACACTGATCTTTTTCCTTCTTTTGATACAATAACCGCCAGGATCCTTCTATTTATTCATGTGAGAAACCTAACAAGCTTGTGTGCGAAGCTTTGGTGGTTCTGTTCAGGTGGATGCGCGTACACAGGAGGTCTTAATTCAGCCTGAATGTCACATTTTCACGTGTGTAGTGTTGGTGTGACTAAACATCTAAGAAAACAGTACAACGATTGATTCTTAATGAATAAAATAACATGTAAAATAAGGGAAACCGGCGTAAAAACATTAATGCCTTTGAGATTGAATTCGATGTCAAGTTTGTTACTAAAGATAAAAAAATGTTAATTATGAGTTGTCAAATTAATTCTTTATCTTCAGGCGAACGATTACCTTACTGAGAAGTGGGGAAAGTGGTTTGATTGTGATGATTTCAATCACGATGGAATACTTTCAATGGAAGATCCTAAGATATTTGAGTAATTATATAGCATTAGTTAATTGTTCAGACGTTCATAAGGCCTAATAACAAGGGAGCATTTATGAAAGAAACAAAGTATCGGTCTCATTCATAGATTGATGAAAAATATAAATATTGCTAACATTCATTTTCTATCTAATTTATATTAAAGATATCACATTTATTTATCTACACTGAATTATTTAGAAAGGGGATCTGAACATATTCAACCACCTTATTGTCTCAAACAAAATATTAACAATTGCTCGGTACCCTGCTAGTTATCTAAATGTGTGGCACGGTAATGTCGAAGTTGATTATTGTTCTCATTTGTTTCTTACAGGGAACGTTATAGAGCTCTTGAAAATCTGAGCGATAAGCAATTGAAGACGATTATTGACAAAATGAATAGACTATGGAACGCCTTTTTCTTTACAAACAAGACAGAAATGTCCAAAGATGACTTTATAAACATGATGAAACAAAGATTTGAATCCAACACGACTGCATTTAATGAGATGGTGCGTGCGTTTTTATCAGAATGGTGCGAAGTGATAGACATAAATGGAGACACATTCCTTTCAGAAGAAGAATTCCTTTTAAACTTTGCTGCTGAAAAACATACAAATATCCCACAAAATAAGCAGCTTTTCTACATGATGAAGCCTTTAAATGGGCGTGTTCCAAATGTCGATATCATAACATATTATTTACGCTTTGCAACTGAGCCGGATATGGCAAAACAGGACATAATTGTTGATGCAATAAATTCTGGTGTTTGAAATAATATTAGTTCCTTGAAATATTCGATGAGACTTATTTGAAAAAAAATGGTAATAAATCGTGTATTCTCACACCAGAATATAAGCGTCCTTATAATTACGAGAAAAATATTATTAAAACATTTCTATTTTAGGCTGTTATAAAGCCCCGACAAATCAAAAAGAAGTGCTAACATAATTTATAAATAAGAGTAGCAAATGGAAACAAAAACATCAATAAAAATCAACAAAGATAAAAAAAAATAATATAAATAAAATATATCAAAAGAAAATAAACACAATAAACATAAATGCACACTTATTCAAATATTCGCAGTACACCGCATTGTTTTGGTTGTTACTGTGGTTAATATATATGTTTGACTTTAACCATGACTTTACATACCATTATTTTCCATCCTGATAAAGCCTTGCATCTCTCTTTCCTTTCTACAATATTGGCGTTTATTTTTTTTTTCAGACTCTGTCCTAATTTGGAGTAAAAAAATAGCGTCCTTTGTTGTGAACATTTCAATAATAATATATATATATATTTTTTTTTAAATTCAATAGTCGTGCATTGTTATTATTTTTAGACACATTGCGTCAATAAAAAACATACATGTAATAAATCTATAAGTAATCAAGTTTGTACTTTGAACATGGACAGTTTACCAATTTCGAAAAATGATGACTGAAATGTAAGTGTGTTGTGGTGGAGGCGGATACGTTGAGTATATTGTTCCTGTCCTGTAAGTGTGATGCTTCAATGTCCAAAGAAATATTTCAATGTCTTAGTCTTTCGCAAATACAGAATTACTGTAACATGAAAAAGTTGGCATTGCTGCATAGTATGTTGCATTTACACATTATACCATTAACGTTGATTTCCTCAAATTATTCATTTTCCATCTGTTTCATTTACACAAGAAATACATTGCGACAAAACAAATTTTAATCACAATATATTGTATAATTAAAATACCAATACAACTGAATTTCAAATGTGAATGAAGTAAATGTGTTTCTTTGTTTCGGCTCAACGCCGCATGTGCATATCGCCACAAACTATGCAATTATGATAATTTGAAAGCAATAAAACGAGATATCAAAATATACATTATAACATTAGCTATTTTTGTAAAATAACTATTATTTCCGCTTTATATTGAAGCAAACATCACGTATTTAATATTAAATACCTTTTGATATATTAATATCTGCATAATAGTGATACCTCGGAAATACAAAAATTGCAGACTCGGTTTGATTGAGTCTGTACATGAGGGATAATGAAAAAAGCGTAAAATCTATCATGCCCCCAGTGCGGTACGCAATTGTAAACCTTTAAAAGTGCCGGAATCAATAATTCCGAAGGAACAGAAACATATAACAACAAAACATAGAATCTCTTCCCAAAGTTCAATATAAATCACACATGAACAATAAAGATTATTTTTCAATGGTCTCGTTTCCAGTGTGCATGTCGACATATTACATCTTGCAATTTCAAAACTTATCAAAGATAGTGTTTCTAAAATTAACATGAACACGACAAAATAAGAAACAACTACATAACATATTGAAATGTCCAATAACAAAGCCAATATTATTATCGCTGTACATTGTGAAATGAATATGTTATTTTCTAATAATATATTAGACAAACATAACTGGTCTTTAAACATAACAAAAACAGTATATCAAGCGCGGAACTATACTTTATAACAAATATTTATAAACTGACGATTCATACAGAAGATGTATTGGATGTTTACATTGTTTATTGCTTTGAGTTTCAATGGTAAGTTATTGTGTACCTGTTTCATTCAATTGCGAAGGGATTTTGAATATTCCGAATTTAATCATCTGTAGGATGTATTAACGATAACCTTTCGTTTTTTATTTGCTCTCTTTTTAGTGGAGATATTCATAATTTGTTAACTTATTTTGAATTTATCATCATTCTTTACTTTCTTTCTCTGTATTAAAAATTATCAGGTTATAACGATGCTTCATCGGCTTTCGGTGTTTAGGTATACTCACAATTTTTACTTTAATTCAGCACAATTATTGTTTTTATGTTCTGTTTTAGAGACATGATCATAGTCCTTTCGCAGCATATTTTCGAAAAGAAATGTTCGGGTTATAAGAATTATTCTGTCAATGCTTAAAACTTTCAGATTCAACCAATGTATTGTACAAAACAGAAAAAAGGGTATCATTGTTATGTGATATACATTAATTTCAGGACAAAGATATTTCGATGGAGTCTGTCAGGAATATATTGGAAAATATGCATGAGAAACAGTCAGTATGAAAAAGTACTGTAGTTTTTCAGAATGGTTTCATATCCCATCCGTCTTAGTTAAATCATCAAAAATAGATTGGGAAGTTGAACTGCAATTAATTATGACGTATGAAATAGAACTACGTAGTAATAATATTCTTCCGTATGTTAGTTTAGTGAATACACTTTACTTCGATATTTATTTTTAAAGCTTGTGTTGGTGCTGTCGAGCAAGAATCAAGCAAGGTAAATAGAGACAAATATATATCACAGCTATTTTAAAGGACTAATTTATACACTGGTATTTAAACAATATTGTTACACTAAAATATTGAACTGATAAAGCAATGAGATGATATTTTTTCATTTATCAAATTGGTGCAGAGTATGTTAAACAGTGCAGTTTGGATAGTTCATATTTGTATAAAAACACATGCTGACTCGGAACACTTACCCTTCCCCTTATTTGATATTTATTCCCGTCAGGTATTTGAACAGATATTATTCCCGCCAGGGCCATTTTCCTTCATTTAATGAATGTACCAAGAGTGTGAGGAAATTTGGCGGTTCAGGTGCCTGCGAGTACATATGAGGTCTTACCAAACTAGTAAAACCTCAATGTCACATTTTGAGCTTTGTATTGTTGCAAGGGCTAAACCCTCAATATAACAGTGAAATAATCGTTTCATAATAGGTAAAATGACAGGTTATGTTGGCAAAAAAGGTGGGACGAACTTGAATCCTTTGATATTGAATTTGATGTCAAATGTTACTTATGGTTAAAAAATGTATATAATGCGCTGTCAATTTGTTTTCCAGGCGAACGATTACCTTACTGAAAAGTGGGAAAAATGGTTTGATTTTGATGATTACAATCACGATGGAATACTTTCAATGGCAGATCCTAAAGTATTTGAGTAACTATGCAACATCAATAAATTGTTCTAGCGTTCATAGTTTAATAACAAAGCTGAATAGATATAAGAGACAGACACTCGGTTTCTCTTAGATTTATACAACATATGGAAATAATGGTTACATACGAATTTCTATTTACTTTATGTTAATATCACATTGAATGCGTTCCAGAATAAAAAAGGAAATTCCAGATGTCCTTTTTCCGGGGGTCGATCTGAAGCCACTTTTTCAGAAACAAATTTACATGCAGAGAGAAATAAATAGTGAGACTAGAGAGATAGGGGAATAATTCCCCTATCTTTTAAACCTCCGACGAAACGGATTGTTCCTGTCCGTTCTGTGGATAATATTCCACGAGTTAATTTTCTAAGGACAGTGTTGGAAATCGTTGTTCGGAGTAATTTGATAAATAAGCATAGAAGAATATTTCTCTTACTTTTTAATGGGTCAATATAGCTGTCATTTATGCGGATTACAAAAGCATTTTAAATAAATAGCAGTCAGTCAATATCTTTAAAATATGAAATAGAAGGGTTAAAAATTAACGCAAACTGATTTGTTTTTGTTACATGTTTTCATAATTTTGTTCAAGAATATATAGTAGTGAAAAAATACATTCAATACTAATTCTCTTACGTATAAAAAATAATATAATATTGGCTATATAAAACTGATGATATTTATCTGTTAAATTTTTCATCGTATTCTTAAGATCATACATATATTTATAAAATAATCATACACGTTTGATTCTTTAAGTTAAATAGTTTATTAATTGTACAATTGTACATTTATGAATAAATTTTTATCCGTATAAGTTTTCTTTAACTGAAGTGTAACATATGTTTCTTATTTCACTGGTGTCGTAACTACTGTCGTCAATATGCATATTAAAGATAAATAAGAAGAGAGCTGGTGAAATATTTATTTTCATATCACTCGATGAAATAAATCACGTAATTACATAAAAAAAACCTTTGTATCCCTTTTCATTATATTCTTAAATATCCTTAATATAAATTCTGAAATATTGAGAAATATTGATGACATAAAAAATAGTTTATTTTCCTTGTTTTATTGAAAGGACTGCAGTGAAACATATTTCCGTTTTTCACTGGTGTCTTTTCGGACTACATTCTTCTAAACTCAGTCAAATTACAAAGTTAAAGGGAAAGTCATTCAAATTTTAGTGTCAAACGAAAGAAAAAGATGAATAATAAACAAAAAAAGTGAAGTTTATTTTCTATAAATACAGGATTGATTTCATATTGTGGCATGAAAAAGCTGAAATATCTATTTTCACACAACAAGAACTTAAACATGGCCTATTTATGCCCCATTTATCTCCTTTTTTGATTCATCTCCTTTTTTGAGCGAATCTTAAAAAAGTATATTTATTCATTATTTATTTTTAGTACGATACATGTGTAATCTATTGTTCAAGATATATAGGTTAATTGCTTAAAATAAAACAACAACAAAAATAAATAAGCAAAACACAATGGCATGAATTTTGTCAGGCAATAAATAGCATTATCCTTCACATCAAATAGTCTAGGTATAGTATGATATCTTGTTGATTTCTTCTATAAGTCTGTTTCTTCACATTAATGATCCTTTATCTGAAAAAAAGTATTGAAACAACATTAAACTGTTACAATAACTGTTACAATAACTTAATATTACCTTCATCATTATCATTAGTTTTAGTGGTCACAAGAAAATTTAATCAATAAGAAAATAACTCTCATTAGATGATTTCATAGCTTATATCTTTCATTCATATAATATATACGGATTGTTTATACATATTTTCTTCACATTTTCCCTGTCTTAAAGTAGTTTTTATATATCTTTTCTGCACTATAATGAATCGATTATAAGAACAAATTTCACAACACGCTGTTATAGCATAATATAAAGCAAAGTAGTAAGGAAATAACCCCGCCTTTTTTAATATTTCTAGCCAATAAACCAGAAAGATCCATTACAGCTGAGATAAGAGTGGACTCATGCCACAGGCGGTCAACTGCGAAATCATTCATTGTTAATCGGCAACCTGAAGTTCATGACCTCGTTTGAATTGTTTACATGTATCTGCAATTTGTATCATTTCAACATGGCATATAAAAATACGAGTTCAGGCGTATTGATTTATTATTTTCTTCAAAAATTAATGTTTCATTATAGATACAAACAAAACCCATTTAGATAAATTTTATTCTAAATATTTTAATGATATCGTTATAATTATTTCATTCGTTATAATTATTTCATTCGTATGTATTTGATTTAGGGGTATAATATCGATTTTTTACAATCTGCACATATAAAGAATATGTTTCCAAATTATGTTCAATTTTCAAACAAATGATACCGATCTTTGCTCATTTTTTAAATTTCTTCCTCCAAAAGAAAGTGCAATTCGTTTTCTGTATTGGTCTCAATATAATCAATAATCGACAGAGAAGTGATATACAAATATACATTATTTTTTAACCGCGACGCTTTAAGATGTTCACATTATATTCTTAATCTTATTACAAATACTAATACAAATATAAACACCGCACTACAAAGTAAAGATAAACATTATTCACCTTAACTGAAAAATTGAAATAAATACCTTGGATTTGCATCTGATAATCACATAATCTTTCGCTCAATTAAAGTGCAATCCTTTTGATTATAAAATAATAACACCCTACCACATTCTAACAAATTTATATATTGTACTTCTGTACACCAATTTTTCAATGGCGGGGAGATAGCGTTAAAGCCCGTTAAATTCGTTCCAGATAGTAAATAACCCGTCAGGAAAGTTTCATTAGCTCATTATACAAGTTACACCTAAGTGATTATACGAGACTATTACCGCGCTGGACGTAAAGGTAGCGATTCCATCTAACATAAGAACATAAAAATAGTTCAATGATTGTGGTAGGAACGGAATAATGGGTATTTAACAAGAACTTTTTGCAAAGATCATGTATCTATGTGTATATTTTACGGAACTCTTATTTCTGTTTTTTAAAAATGTTTTTATTTAGTTAACATACAAAACAAGTCGCTATGAGATAAATAGCATTTTTTCTAGATTTCTAAAAAATGATGCAAACTGACCCTCCGCGAGAAATAGCTAAAGAAAATACACGCATGTACCGCCGTTTTTACATTCATAGCTTTAATAAAATATACAAATGTACTAGTAACGTTAACCATGAAACAGAGCAACCCGTTTAACTGTCCGCATGTATAACTATTTGACGAATAAGATCAAACAATATACAGTACATAGTAGAGTGAAACCAACAACGTGTTGCGCATTACAAAAAATACGAGTGGTACAAACAAATTACGTTCTATCGTATTAAAGGGGAACACATTTTTTATTGCTAAGAGGCTGTTCAATATGCTTAGACTTAACAAACAAGCAGAATTCATTTACCGTCGCTAACCCTAATAAGAACCATAAACTACTTAACCAAGAAATCGAGGGTTCAAAGGTAAAAGGTAATAACTGCCATTTTCAAGATTTCGAGAAAAACGCAAAAAACATATTATTTATATACAACTTTATTTTCCGTAATATTGTTATAACAATTTTGATTCTCCCATATTTGTTGACTACATTAGATCACATTTTGTTTAGTTTACATTGCTTGGTGCTGATAAAACACTGTAATTATAGTTTGTTTTAAAGTTCTAAGATCAAAATAATATCATTTTACAGAAGTAAAAGGTAATAAATGTACTTAGATCCTGTCAAGACTACAAGTTTGAGCGGTAAAAGGTAATAACTGCACTTACGACCTTTTACTTCTGAAGGTTTAGCAATAAAAGTTAGAGATAAACTGTGGTAAAAGGTTATAAGTGCAGTTATAGCCTTGTTCCTCTGAAAAATTTAGATGTTGCAGTAATTGTTACTGATGCAAATTTATCAATTATGTCCTTACTTTGAAGAACCTTACGTAATGTAATTAACACAATGCACATTAATACTCGTACACAAAATTAACACTTTTCATTCATAGAAATATGAAATATGTACCTGCTCAATATTTAGATTCTACAGAAATAAATTAATAACTAAAAAGTTTACGAAAATACGCACTTAAATCTAAGTTTACAAATTTCATTTATTTTGAATGTTCTCTGGTATATAATCGAACTGAAGTCAAACAGACCCCAGACATCAGCAATTAAGGATATTAGTGACCCATATCATAGTTAAGTAAATAAAGACTACTGTTTCATGTCACAAAATGTGAATGTTTGTCATTAATTATTCTATGACCTCCACTCATCTTCTTCACTCTCACTAACAGAAGGCACTGAAAGTTTGTCTTTTATAGATTTGCTGCATGGCAATGACTCATAGTATGATTCGGACTCCTTCGGAATTGTTCCAGAGGCAACAAGTGACATCAAATCAGTTTTTGCAGCAGATATTGGAAGCTTCTTTGTATAAGCCTTTCGTGGAGCCTTAAGAGACTTTTCTTTGCTTCTGTTCTTCTTCTGCATTAATCTATAACTGCCTTGAACTCACTAACCACAAAACCATAGCTCACAACAATACTGTATTTTTGTCTTTATCTATCTCCAGTCATTACGTCATTTGATAACGTCACATGTTTAGCAGCAAAACAAAACTACATATAGATGTTATTTTATCGGGGAAAAAGAAGAATGAAACCATTTAATTATTCTAAACACATTATTAAAAGCAGGATAAAACAAATACATGGTTGATGTCGGGCTGGAGAAGGTTTATCCGGTTCACTGCGAAAGTGAATCTTGGCGAGCTAAAGCTCGCCAAGATACACTTTCTAGCTCACCGGATAAGCCTTATCCATCCCTAAATCAACCATGTATTTTATATATATTCAGCCAATTAACACGTTCACCATCAACATCGATTTTCATTGAGCCAAAGTTTTGTTCTTTGTACAACTTGTAATCTAGTATGTCATTGTATTTTATTAGAACGACAATATATGGTTGCTTCCGGCATTGGTATGATATAACTGTTTCCCACTGCGATGGAACATGAACTATTGTAAGGCGTTTTGCATGCTTGATAGATGCATGTATGGAATTTGCATTCCATTAATGAATGGCCAATTTCAAGAAATGTGTGGTTTTACCATTGATGTGAGGTATATCTTGGACACAGTGAACTAAGCAACTTGCAACAAACTGATTGCAATTCTGTCCTCCACATGCATTAATTACTATATAATGTCACTTCTTCAATACCAGATGTCTTACTTGCAACAGAGGTTACATACAAGTACACAAAAGTTCCTACTTTGCACGAGCCTGGTTTCCCCATGTGTCTCATCCAGCAGATAACAAGTCCCGTTACCATTTCCCAGTTCATAGAATGACAAATTGCAACAACACAGTTTTCTTTTGTAACGAAGTTCACCAATTAAACTGAGTGGTGTTTTCAAAATAGGCTGGATATCAAATGACGACACAGAAAACTTTGGATCTTTCTTTGTGCATTTTTTATCGGCTGATTTTTTCATTCTAGCACTGTTTTTTTTTCTTTTTGGTCACTTGGTGTACTTGATATTTTGCTTTTGTTGCCTCATCTAGTCTATCTTCTATTCTCAAAGTGTCATACAGATTGCAGAGTGGACATTGATCTTTCTTAGGACGGAAGAAAAAAGTTATATTCTGTACTAAAAATGATTCTGTATACAGCCTCTGAAACACACTTTCTATTTTGTCCTTTGCATTGTTCTACATACAGTGAGTATATCCGTTTTATATTTAAATCTTGCGTTAGATACTTCCTGTTGGGGTCTTCCTGTGTAGTGTGATTCAACAGTCGGAAAGCTTTCGTTGTGTTTCTTTACAAATGATCTGTGATATTCCGTGGTTTTATTTCCAGGCACAGCTTTCCCTCTCTTGTCATTTCCAACATATAACCCTGCCACTTTGTGCTTAACTGCGTTTGCAACTGTTTTGGAACCGACATCGATAGTTTTTAGTAAAAAAATCTGGAAACAAAGTGATCCCTCGGAAGCATTAATCACAACAAAATTACATAAAAATTGCAGACTCGGTTTGATTGAGTCTGTACATGAGAGATAATGAATAAGTGCAACATCCCTCACGCCCTCTGTTCTACATGTGTGAAAAACGAATTCGAAATAGTTCTTTGTTTTGTTCTCTGTTTAGATACATTCTCTTGTTCTTTATTGGCAACATGGAAACAAATGAATTGCCTCTGACTTATGTAATCATCCACTGACCAGTATGTACTGAATATTTTCTGTCTTTCATACTCGGTTATATTCTCGCTGCATTTAATTCTAAAAGATAAATTTCGTGGAAAAAGAGATAACAGATAGTGCCTGTGAACTGTATGAATGCAACATTCTGTCAGGGGAAAAAGGTGATAAAATCAGTTATAACCTTTTTCCACTACAGATTCTTCACAACATGTGGAACAACAAGTAAACAACAGGTAATAAGTACACTTAGAACCTTTTACCCCTAAATAATTTGTAGAAAAGAAGTTATTACAAAATACTTTTAATTTTTTGCCCTTATAAGGATTGAATATTTATATAATATTTTCGTCAGACATAAAGGACAATAAGTACATTATAAAAAACATAAAAAGTCAATTTCGGCAAAAGTGGCAGTTATAACCTTTTACCTTTGAACCCTCGAAATACGCTTCAATATATACTGTTCAAAACTTTCAAAGCTTATTTTCAAATTCATGTTCTAGATACCCCGGAAGCGCATTAATAACAGGTATGTAATACGATGACATGTAATGTTCATCGGGCTGCAGTTTGGCCCAAACCGAATAGAAAACTAAAATGTGATTCAGTACATAACTATTAGCATACTACAATAAACTATATCTATTTAACTTCGTTATAATAAAAGAAATTTATCAATCATCTTTACCCAAGTTAGATACATTAACGATTGCCGCATGTAATTTGACATAAACGTATCGTCGGCCACGCTGCAGAATATCAAGGGTACCCAAAAGTTTTATTGCGAGGCTTATGGTTTTTATGAATATGAATCCTGTCAGCAAGAAATGACATATATAGGTTTATATGTATAAAGATGATATCAGGCTTCCCAAGATAAATCTAATACACTGATAAATACATATTTGTATTTTGATATATACTCATTATTTGTATAATATGTTTGTATACATGCATTAAATGCAATAAAATAATGATGCTTAAACTAAATACATATTTGTAACTATGCAACATATGCAAATTGTCTTAAAAATACATAAAAATATCTCTATCCCCGTCGAATGTACAATGCCTGTCATGCAGCGGAATATCATGGATACCCCGGAGTATTATAGCGAGGCTCATGGCCTCTACACAATGAACCGTTGTGTAAGCAAGAAATCACATACATGTACAAATGTATAAGGATGGCAGCAGGCTACCCGACATTAAACTTATACAGAGTCAATACCACGACAAATCCCTCGGAAACTGTGGAAGTTATCATA